TGATAAGCGACAAGAAAGGTGAATTTAAGAAGCGGTAGTGAAAGTAGGCGCTCTATAGCATTTCCGGTGGCATACTAGCTACCCAGCGGGACGAGAGAAAATTTCACTTGGAGTCTAACGAGTTCGCTTTTACCCCAGACGACGAAGAAGAAAAAAGTTGGAAGGGTCGAAGTGGGGAAAGGAGTTTTAGGTACGAAAAGCGAGGCTCTCCTTTCCAGTGAAGCAAGGACGGCAAAGACCCGTCTCAGTGATCCGGTGAGATTGACAGGTCGAGCCCTACTCGTGGACTCGTGCCGGTTGCTATGCTAAGATGGCGATGAAAGATGATTTACTTTTAATGGTAGAAAACGTTACTTTCCGTACGCTCATTTCATTTGCTTAGTACTGCAACTCGTTGAAAGAAAGACCATGACCTAGTATAAATATTAAGTAATCCTTTCTCAAATCTCTTATTATAAAATATTATTCTAGCTGAATTTTCGTTCAAATTATAATGGTAAATTATGATAGAATCGTCTAATTATGCCACTTGATATATAGTACTATTATTAAGTTGTTGTAATGACGAATATATTAAATAATGACAATTATTGCAAAGATGCAGGTACGCATTTTTCGTACACCCTATAGCACGTATATCACGCGTCGTCACAGGAAAGACAGCAACGTCAATATATATGCAAACGCCGATATAACGATCTATCGGTACGTAAATATATAAAGGGCGAGGACGAGCGTGGGAGAAAAAGCGATGGCACAAGAGAAAAGGAAAAAAATGAGCGAGAGACGCGCGCACGGAATAAAAGAGAAAGAGAGAGAGAGAGAGAGAAAACTCTCCAAGCTTAATATAAAACTTCATTTCGCAATCGGCAGCAGCCGGAGGAAATACGAAGATCCGACACGCAGAAATTCCGCGGTCGTCACAAAAAGGGTGAGCTCGAAAGAATCTTATTTTTCTAGCATTAAGCTTTTCGCGGTGCGCAAAATTATTTCAAATATAACTTATTATTCCCAACAAAATATTGCAGCGCAACGTAATGCTGCTTTAAGATGGAAAAGATTTCGATGACAATTTTTGAAACGCTGCAGAGAGCAGAGCGGCGAATTATTTTGAGATTAATAAAACGAACGTAGAGATTCAAACGGTGAAAATTATCGCTGCGCAGTTCTCCGAAAGAATCCGTTATCGGGGAAACTCCACCTTACACGGGAAAGAGAGAAAATAAAGAATCGCCGAAGAAAGATAGCGCTAGTCGCTTTTATCACGCGAAGCGCTGCAACTGTGTCGATCTGAAGAACGCGCGCACCCCTTTCTTCCCCCGTTCGCTCTTTTCTCGAACTTTTCGTTCGTATATTTCGGGCCTTTCTTCCTATATGTTTTCGGAGTGCGCTTGAAAGAAGGGGTCGGGCTGCCGAACATCGGAGCGAGGCGCGCGCGATGAAACTTTTAATAAATGGCAGAGTCGATATGAAGTATAGGACTTTGACATATCGTGTGTCTGTAATGTATAGTTAAATCTGGTGGCAGATGTGGAGGGTGTTCTCCGTTCTCTCGTCTCTCTCCGTTACCCTCCCGCTTAGTCGCCCTCTTCACCTCCTCTCTAGCCATCCGCGCCCGCTTCGCGCTCTGAAACGGTTGACACCCTTATCCCTCTCCCACCCCTCCAGAAATTTCCTTCTAATCCACTGACGCAATTGAATAAATTATTAATACGATTACCATGCACACAAAATACAATATTTAAAATACATTTCGTCCTACTGATAAATAATCTTTTCTAAACGTTTTTATAATTTTTAATATATATCTAATTTCATTAGGCTGTCATAATAATTTTTTAAAAATTCTCGTTGCAGGCTCAAATGAAATTAATCTATAATGTGTGTAATAAACCTATATGAGCCAGCGAGATGTACAGGTACAAATGATATTTTATTTTAAATGTAAATGAGTATTTGTAGAAATGTTATTTATTAATATTATTAGTATAATTATTTTTATTATTTCCGTTACTTTTAAACATTTATTTTAAGTCTTGGGCTTCATCAAATTAAAATTTATATAAAGTTAAAAAAGAGTAGTGTGCGAATATAAAAACGTTCGCAAGTTTTATCCTTGTCACTCTAGTGCAACGTGAGGTACATATAAATGTACGTTTAACTGTTGCAACATGTAGAACACGATGAATGTGATCGTTTCATGCTGAAAGGGATCGATTATAGCGCAAGTAAACGACTTGCTATATACGGATCACTCGATGAGGGTAGTGGCACAAATTTTTTCTTCGATAGCAACAGTGAACTTTTCAATCAAACTGCCTGTCTAAATGAAAGCTCCTCCACAAAGCGGATCAGGGTAATCTGTCATCAAAACTGCTCCACAGCGAACCGTCGCGATGCCAGTCGACGCGCCCCTAGCAATTCTGACCGTTGCAATAACGACACGGGTGCATTCGATCCATGAACCTACCCAGTACCAAATTTGCTTTTGAAGAAGCATTCTGTACATCATATTTGCATGATATAAATATGTATACAAATATAACAATTTACATTCCAATAACATACATGGATTAATTATGAGTGGATAGTTAAAATTTTTCTTGTATCACGCGTTTACACCCCTAATAGCACACTTTATTCAAAGGACGTTCTGGTGAACGTTCTTAGGAGATAGAGATATTCTCTGAATGTTCTTTGAAACGTCCCTTGGAAATTTGTGTTATGAGAGACATTTCCTGTCTCTAAATAATAAGTAAATGAATAAACGAGACCAACATAAAAAGAAAAGTAACCGCACCACATTTCAGATATAATAGAATCACTAGCAAATCATCAGCAATTACAATGAAACCAACGCTTAGTCAACATTACGCCTGTCAATTGTTGGCAATGGTTCTGTCAATCAGTACTGGGCCATCACTGGCAAATGACTGACTGATAAGTGACGGCCAAAGTTCTGTCAGCTAGTACTAGATTATCACTGCAGACAAATGACTGGCTAAAATGACTGGATCAGTATCGTCTGCCAGTATTGGGCCCAACTTATCATCTATTTGACCAGTACTGCGCCAGCACTTGAACTATGACAGTCAGTACTGGCCTAGTACTAGACCAATTAAACTCTTCATGGGATATATTTGTAACAAAAGTAAAATATCTTAATGGATAATCGTATATGATCTATAAATATACGATTAGTCACAAAGATATTTTGCTTTACAATTACAAATCACAACTTTGAACTATTCCGAAAGAATAATACCCGACTCAGACATTCTATTCTAAAAAAACCTATCCAAAGACTATTTCTTTTCTCGAAAGAATAACATTCGACCAAAAAAACTATACTATTATTATTACACGACAAATACAAAAGAGAAAAAAAAGCATTGTTGGACGAGACCCAAGGCAAAATGGAACGTATCGAGAATAAATAATTTGACAAATTATTTTTAACGTTTCCGGTCTTTATGCGGAACTTGACAATGAATTCGCAGTATCATTCGTGGGTTAATAAAAGTTAAAGACTATCGTACCTTGATTCGAAGGCTCATCCAAGGAAGGTGGAGGACCGCGTGGCCGAGCACGTGAGAAGATTCCCCACCACTCGGCAGGATACCGAACGACGCGCTCGCGCGTACCGCCCACAGTACGCCGGGTTGCGCCGGGTAACCGTGGCCGCCCAAACGGGCCTCGTGCTCGTCCGCACGAGAGTCGCCCGCTTGCACTCTCACGGCACGGACCTGGTCGTCGTACCCTCCTGGCTGTGTGCCCTCCGAGCCCTCCAAGGCCACCGTCGCCACGACAGGCCAGCCCGCCTACGTCGGCGGAGGGCTGTGCCTCACCGCTCGCGTTACCGCTCCACGATTGGTCGCTCCATTCCGACGAGCGAAGTCACGTGATCGGGCCGCCGCCACATTAAAGGACGACTTCCACCTCGATGCCAAAGTGGACTCCCAGCCGCCCCCTCCCGGAACGAGGAAAGAGACAGCAGTAACAACAGAGACACCGGGAACACCAGAGAGGCGAAAAAGATCGTGGAAATTTCGGTCCTGGCGACTGGAGACAGCCGTCTCTTTCTACGGGACGTCCTTCGCCTCTTCTGCCGCACCTTCTCGCTTGGCAGGTACCTCCACCACGGACTTGTCGGACCCCCACCTTCCCTCGACTACTATCTCTACATCCTCTCACTCCTTCGTCACTTAGCAAGTATACCGCGATCGGTGACTGGCTTGGTGTACCCTAGCCCGCTTGTCTGGGTTTCGGCCGATCGGCAACAGCAGTCGTGGTACGCGCGATTCGGCACGGCGTTCTCCGTCGATCGGTCGGACTATCGATCAACCCGTCGCGACTACGTGTGACAGTGGTGATCTGTGCTTGGTTGTATTGAGATGGCAGATCTATGAATTGGATCTGTTGTCTGAGCTATGTCGACCTCGAGTAAGCAGTGTCATGTTCGTAGCGTGGTTCAAAAATTTGCTTCTCGTTGACGAGAATCAGATTAAATATCATGAGACACACAAATTATTCCAGTTAGTCTATAAAAGAAGATGAATACGGATATACAGTTTATGATAATGATGATAATATATCATAGTGAGTATTACAGTGTGTAATGAAAATGTACTAAACAATTGTAATTAACCAATTGCTGATCGATGTACCTCTTGGCATAAACCATAACGCAAGTAAGTAAATAAGTGTAATCGAGGAAAAACGACGCTTCGCATGAAAAATTCGCATGAAAATTAACTGATTTTGTGTTATTAAAGTAAAGAATGAATAAAGTTTTGTATCATACGCATATTAATGACAATATATGAAAGAAATGATAATAATAATAAGTTATAGGCTATACAAGCACATATATGCTTTTCTTTAGCCTTCTTAAAAACAAATTTAACTTAATGAATTTTCACTATTAATGACAATGCGATATTTTAATATAAAAATGCGTAATAGATAAATATACATACATTTTGAAAGTTGAAGAATAAACGAAACTCTTAGTGAGACATTTATCGAGTGAATTTAAGTGCATAGGGTGTTTTTCAAAGGCTACACTACGTTTTGAAATTACATCAAAAAAGGACATTGTGAAAAAGGGATTAGTCAATATCCCACGGTCAACAATTAATTACGTCATTCTCTGATTACTACATTCATCAGAAGAGACATACTACAAGTCCGTATTATCCCATGCGTAGCAAGCAACAAACGTTGGTACATCCCGAAGAAGATCTGCGCCAACCGCAATTGTCCAGCTCTCGCAATCTGCAGCTCGGCAATCATCTTCAGAATTTGGTCCACGCGAATAAAGAGCTATCGACCGTGAAGACGAGGCCGACGACACCCGTCCTGGCGAACGACGGAGGGGGCGGCTTCTGGCTGGCCACGGTGGCCACGGGGGCAAGTACCCCAGCCGGGCTGCCCCCGCACGGAACTCATCATCCAGCCATGGATCCAACATGTGGATCTGCCGAAACCGGCTTCATCAATAGCCAGCCCTCCATGGCTGAATTTATGACGGCATTGCCACAATTAGCTGGGGATAGTAGCCTAGCACACTCACCGGGGACCGGTGGTTCCATCAGTCCTGGTGCTCATCATCCCGCGTATCATACCATGATGGATCCCCATGGTGTCGCTGACCCCTCGGGTGTCAACGTTCCGGAGTATCCCTGGATGAAGGAAAAGAAAACTACTAGGAAAAGTAATCAGCAAGGTAAGTCACCAAATTATTTAAACAATAGTAAGAAAATTAACCCAGAAATGTTTAAATACCAATAAGCGAATAAGATCATATTCGATCAAGCAAACAAATATAGCCTTTTTCGCTTATTTGTACTCAAAACTGTGTAGCTTCATAAATCATCACATTACTGTTGGCAAAAGAAATAGTTTTAGGAAAATTAAAACTTTAAAAAGCAAATAAAAAACGGAAATCTTTCAATTATCAGCACTATGAAGACAACGCGTTATAATTATAATATTATAATATATTCATCGAAAAATTACCATACTTTGCATCAATTATTTTACTTATTATTCATTAACAATAATTAATAATTAATAATTTTAAAACTAAGTATTTATTTAATCTTTATAATAATTTTAATTGTAAAAGATAAATAAAAGATGAATTGATCGACATTATAAATTTCATTGTTGTTTAAAAATATATTACTTAAAAATATATTACTTAAAAATTATGTTCATTATATAACTATATTTAAAAATCTTAGGAAGTCGAGAGAAATAGATTTTTTTTCTGATCTTTATTAGATCTATATTAAGCAAACATAATAATGAAATTTGTCAAAAAAGTATAATGACAAACGTGAATGTCAATTAACATAACCATTAGGATTCGGTATGCCATTTACAACATTAGGAGTCTATTGGCTCTTCACCGCTACATTGTGGTTCACCGTGGGGTGCCTATCCGACGGCTAATAACAGTTTCAAGCCTTTCGTTTCCTACTAGAGATGTGGCACATCTGGAGCACATAACAATACCACAGTTTTCTAGACATTTACAAATATTTAGATAGCAAATAATGATATACTGTCATTTGAACAAAATGACTGAACATATGGCATTCAGATGTGGAAAAATTTTCGAAAACAGAAAGTCAACATAGCTTCTGAACAGAATAATGCTTTTTAATTTGCACAATTCGTGCATTTGTAATTTACAATGTATTGTATAATTTACATTAAATTTTATTTAAAATTAATGCGTCATATGTCAAAAAATACGTTCTATATATTTCGTTTACGTATTACATTTATTATTATATTTAATATACATGAAAACACATAATGAAATCCTATTTCTATATAAAAATAAACGTATCGTGAATCAACTTCGCTATGTTACGTCGGAAAGATATCTGCAGCAATTATTTTTCCAACAACTTGTTGGTTATTGCGAAGCTAATCGAGGACCAGCCAATAAATTTACGGAGAGATTCACGATACAAATTTATTGGTCTCCGATAGCCTTACAATAGCTAACAAGTTGTTTGGAAAAGGAGTGATCCGCACACATATTTTCCCGATTTAGCATAATGAAATTAATTTGCAAGACCTTTAATTACTTATACTTTTATTACATGCAATAAGTAATAATAAACGGAATATGTAAACTATATCTTTTTAATGTGCATTAATTTACACGTTGAATTACATGATGCCACGCGTCATTGAAGCTCATATAATAATGGATAACGATACAATCCGAATAAGGGTTGACTAACTTTATGGGCCACTAGGGTCACCGTTCGGCAACGTCCGGGACCCTACAAACGTCTTGATCTATTTATCTATCCCCGTTTCTCTCTTTCTCACATCGATCTTGCGTCTACAACGGCGATTTAACGTCGTGCCGACTCCAAAACGTGGTCGGTCCGTCCGCAGGACACGTCGGAAGATTAAGTGTTTGGCACGGAGGTTAACCAGCCGCTGGCCAGGCGGTAACACGCGGAATCATCTGTAAATTGAGCCCAGGACTAGCGGGAGAGAGCGTCGGGACGGCCATAACTCACATGGGGTGCCGCCACCGACGCCTCGTACACGTCGGCTCTTTGCTTTCAACTACCGTGTTATCCCTTATCGCGCGCTGCCTCGGTCATCTCTTTGTGATTTGCGAGCCTATATATAATAATCGTGCATCTCTTTATAATTATACTTCTGACAATGAGAGCGTACAAAAATTGCATATCTATTAAAATTTGAATCTAATTTTCTAAATATATAATTAAAAAAAAAATTACTTCTTGCGATATTAAAATATAAATGCTACAATAATATTAATAAAAACTTTATATTAGACTTATTTTTCAGCTTTTGATTGAATTTATCTTATTTTGTTTAAAAATACATTTCTTTTTTGTTTGAATCATATCTAAATTTCCATGAATTACAGCCAACACAGAAATTAAACTCATTATCTCATTATTACGATTTTAACTGTCGAACCCTCATTAATGAATTTCTATCCAAGACGGCGCTATCTCCGTTATGAGGATGGTGTGTCCTACGAAACCTTAAGTAACATCTCGTCTTTTCGTATGTGTCACCATGCTGCTCGTATTAAATTTCAATCTGTTACATCTACGTGCCCTCCAGCTGAGATGTTTTAGTTCGGGAACGCCGCGGATGGGACGATGAAGGAGAACGTGGTCTGATTAGTTGAGTTATTTGCCAGGAGAAGAGGCGCGACCGACGTTCCATGCTTCGTCGGTAATTCTTGCTGGATACCTTTTCTACAAAAAAGCCACGAATCTACGAGTGTTTTTCCCGACGCCTTGTTCCAGGCGTCTCATCAGTCACGTCGGTGGGTGCCAAAGCGGCGTCAACCCAGCAGACTCCTCCAAGACGCCGATGTGTCAATTAATCCCTGCATCCCTCGGGATAGGACTAGGCTAGAAGCTGGATTATCATCATCCTCACGCCACTATCTTCCGTCCTTCGTCTTACACCCTCCTGCGGGACGGCCATTTTCGTGACCGAACTGCTTCTTACTAAACTACGTCGGGTTGCGTTTCCGTCATTAATTAATATAGCGGTGATACTTGATGTCGCTAATAGTCTAGCGGTGATACTTGATGTTCGCAAAATTATTAAATAAAATTACGACGTAGTTTTAGACTTGTACAAACGGAGTGAAAATAACGGGAGTGAAATATAAGAGTGGATTTTCTAAAAGCCTATGGCGAGACACAAATATCGGTAAGCGGAGAGAAACTGAGGGAAAGGAGGGCATAAAGACTCGATAACGAAAGAAGGGTGGAAGCGAATTGACTATACTTGGCGATTCCATGATATAGGTGATTGAGCGAGCGGGGCTTTACCCTTCGGGAAAGAGCGCAGTACGAAAAGAACGGAGCATCTAATTTAAAGATTCATTGGCAAGTAAATCCTCACTGAATTAGAGATAACTCTCCTAGAAAATCCCAACTGCTATGATATTCCACAATCCACTGTCTCTAACATTGCTCACGGAAAAGAAAAGAGTCTTACAACAATATTTATAAAAATAAATTCAATGTATAATAAAATACATCAAAAATAATCTTTTTTATATTCGCTGATATAAATGATAAATCTGCGCTAATCACGTTCTCCCGATTAAAAGTACTGTTCATAATATATTATAAATAAAAATCATTTTTTACTATTAACTTATTGTTAATCGTTATTAAATCACTGGTGACATAGGTATAAACAAATTTTATATTACTTCTAAATTTACTAAATTTACTTAAAAAAAAACTCGGCAGATTAAAGGTTATACGGTACGCAACGTTTGATATATGCTTACAAATACATATTACAGTCGCTACCATTCAAACAGCGAGGAGTGTTAACAACCGTTGTGCGAGATGATTGCAAATATTCGATGCGGAGTCCGTTCAATCTGGCAAGACGAATTATAGAAAGGAAGAAACGTAGTTCTCATACGTTCTCATACATACAATCTTCCCAACTTGCACATTGGCGCAAAACATCTGGAAGAATAACGCCGCATAAAATATTCCAGATTATCCCCCAAACCGTCTAAGTATGACGCTCCACAGCTGCAACAGAGGGTTACAGTAGCAAGATGCGGGTGGCTCACCCGTTTGCACAAAGCTCAAATAATAAACACGGTATAACAAATTGATAATCTGAAACCCCATAATCGTACGCATGTTTCGGCCCGGAATCTGTAGCCCGGCACTAAAAGAAGTTTCCACGCTCGTTGTTACGCCAAATGGAGCGCTATAAAAGCGTGGGGTTCGTATCGTTGTACTTCTCTCTGTCTTTCTCTCTCTTTCTCTCGCTTTCTCCTTTTTTATTATCGTTCCTTCTTGTTCCAAATAAAATTGTAAATTGTTATAATGTTTTAGAATGATAAGAGATTTTTACGTTATTTAATATGACGGGATAAATAAATTATTAATCTTCTTGTCTTCTTTTGTGGAGAAGATAATATAATATAATATAATGCAAATATATATCTACGTATGTATATGTAATACATGATCAGGAACATAATACGAACCAATTGGTGATATTCGACGATGTTCCATAAAGAAAGTGAAACAACCGCGATTTTCTGCGACAATAATAATTTTATGCAAATGTTCGAAGGTGAAGCTCTCTAGAATGGCGATGATATTGTCAGATAGACATCTCTCGCCATGCTTTTCGTATATTCCCCTTTCTAGCAGGGAATAAAAGACGTTTGAGGGTTCCTATATCTGTTATTCTACTCGTAAAAGGAAAGGAGGTGTAAAAATTTAAAAAAAGCGATAACATATGCCAGAGGGTCAACTATAAATCGTAAAAATAAATATTTATATTACCATTAAAAAAATCTTATTTCTCATTAAATGAATCAGTGACGTTGTTAATAACCATTCTAATTATTTGTGCTAACTCTGTGTACAACACAAAAAATTATATTAACATTTTTTAGTCACGTTAACTAAAAGTAAAATCTGCTTTCACTAAATTTCTCTGATTTGTGTAATATTTTACATTCTTTCTAACATAAATAATCCTCTCACTTGTCTGCTTCGCAATATTTTTATATTACATACATAATTTTGTATTTTATACATAAAAAATTTGTATATAAATGATTTTTTTTTATATAAATGCAATTATTTAGACGAGATATAGAAATTTGTTTACAGAAATAACCAAAATGTCTAATTTATTTAAAAACGTAAT